GTTTTCCCCCCTCGCACCCCCCCCGTCCCCCCCCCCCGGAGACATACACCATTTTGCAAGAGCTATATTCTTGCGTACAAATTGAAGTAGTCAATTTATACTTTCAGTTGATTGTAAAATTCCAAAACCTCAGCTCCCTAGAGTATAAAAGGTACAAAAATTTTCTCCTGTCCCATTATGCCTGGCAAAGTTTAAGGAGACTTTCTTTGGAGACTTTCTTTTTCTTGTATGTGGTGTGAACTACCTCACGGTACTGGTTTGCATTCAGAAATGGTCAGGTTAGCAGCACTACACCCTGAAAACCCTTGCTTACGGTTTTCTTTGCTTCATAATGAGGGTTTTTTTGTACAAATCTAAAATCAGCAGCATGAACTTGTGAACATCTAATGTGCACAGATTTGCTTCTCTTAGAATACAGCTTCAATGCTGCTTTTAAGAAGTGAATTACTGTTTCAGGGTATCTTTGTTACTTTTAATTTTTTTGAGCTAGGGATAGACAGACGTGCACACAGATGTGGATTAGCAGTATTTATCATGTTTTCAAGGAAAAAATAGGCAAATACGTGAAAAGTAGTGGTGGTGTGTTGACGAGGTATTCAGCATTTTGTCAGGCAAATTGATGGAGACTTTTTTTGAGTTTTTCTCTGAAACTCTGAACAGGTGTTAGGTTATCAAGTCTAAACCAACACTTGAGGTGTCAATGGTCTCAAGGTTTTACCTAGCTGATTTTAACTTTTTCAGTATACTTTGTATTTTTCTTAAGGAAGATATAAACACATTTTATTTTCAAAGGTGTACAGCAAGGCATGCACACGACCTTCTCATGATGATACTTTGCTGTAATGAACTTTGCTGTAATTTTGTGTCGACAAAATGAAGTGTGCATCTGGGCCTGTACACCTCTCCTTAAACATTTTAGCATTATGTCTTGTTTTCAAAATATAACTTGTTAGACATGAGTACAGTTACTTTTTTTCCCAATTGGTAAAGCTTTGGTATGGCTTAAAACTAATGGGGTAGATGAGTAATTCATCTTTGTACTGAAAGAAGGATTTTAGTACTAGTTAGGTTATCACATACAACTGTTCAGTAGAAAGCTATAGTTTCTTGTGGCTTGGGCACTTGAGAAAGAAGGAAAGCAATTCTGTTTTATCAAGACAAATGACAACATACTGTGGTTGTTAATGGGATGGTGGAAAACATGCATCATTCCAGGCACAGTCTGTACTCTGCCATCACAGTATAGCTGTGTAAAACAAAAGAACAGCAGGTATTCTCCTGAAGTTGAACAAATCTGCATTTGCATGTGGAGATAGTGTTCTTCAGTTCTTAAAAATATATACAAATAAAAGGCTTCTCAACATATTTCATGCGATGAAGTTTTAAAGTTTTGGCATAGTTTGCCTTGATTCTCGATTCTGTATTAAAGACGAAAAACCGAGTACGTGGTGCAGAGAAAGATTCTCATAAAGTATGTTTCATACCTGCTTGCAGCAGTTGGGGATTTTCTTACATCCAAATTTCTACATCCAAAATTGACCACATTTTTTAAAATTAGTGCTCATTACGTGAGAGCTACTTTGATCTTCACATTTAAAAAAACCTGGAAAACTGGTGTGTGATATAATTTTGAGCTATGATTTAGCTTTGCAGTACCAATCTTATTTCTATAGTTTGCATTTAGGTATAATGAAGATTTATTTTCTTAAATGTCTGCCTGTAGGTAGCCCACCTGAATCCAAAGGATAATTCTTACACTCTGAAGGATTATGTATTTAAAGAAATACAAAAAGATTGGCCTGGATACAGTGAAACAGATAAGCAGTCATTGGAGTTAATACTTTCTGGGTAAGTTCAGTCTCTAGGGGAAGGAAAATAGCCATTTAAAAAACTTTTTCTGGGAAACTAATGTCTGTCTTCCCTATAATGAAAGAACTATGACATGGACATTTTTACCTTGTAACCTGAAATGTTGGGTTGTCCTTACAGAAAATTAAACTCATCTCAGAATGCCACCAGCAGCAGCGATTTGGAATCTACTGAAGATGCTCCATCAACTTCTCAGGTATTTTGTGGGGGTTTTTCAACATTATTTACAGTGTATTAAGGCATCACACTTTATATTGGTGTAAAAACTGTGATGTGAAGCACAAATACTGTCTTTAATACATGAAAAACTGAAGCATTTATTTCTAATTGGATTATTACGTATTTTTTTAAAGATGGTTGCACTGTCAAAAACTGCAAAAAACTTACGGTCACATAGCTTAAGGGCTGCTATATTTAGTGTTCTGTATTTCAGAAAGTTTATTAAAATATTCAGGAAAACAAACAATTCCTTTCTACACAGTATTCTGTAAATACACATAGATCTTTGACAGCGTCTACTTCTGTTGGTCTAAACTGCAACTGTCCATCCGTAGCACATTGATCTTGCAGAAGTCTAAGCTCGCCTGTAGAGTCTAAACTCAGCTGCTGAACTTCTTGGTTACCCATTATTGTTACACAACCCTGTGCTTTCTGGTTAGATATTTAAAACTGTTTTGTATTGCCACATAACTTATCTTGGTGTGTAGGAAGGTCTTCTAAATACAAGATACATACACGTTTTCCTTACATGGTTGCATGTGTTCTTTGTGATATGGTAGGTCTAATACATAAAACATGCACAAACATTCTTATCCTACTGTTTAAAACTCATGAAAGTGTAGAATAAGGACAAATTACGGTAGTGATCCACTTGGAGGAAATTTTTTTCTTTTTTTTCTTCCTACAGGCGTCATTTATGCACTCATTTTGCTTCAGGCTAGACCAGGTGTGAAAAGGCAAATCTGAATTGACAGGTAGTACATCTGCCTTCCCCCAGCCTTTTCAGACTTAAAATACATGTGTCCTGTTTTCCTATCAATACAAGAGGATGATGCAAACCCTTTCAGAAGAAGCTTGGAAAACTCTGCATAAAAGGCATTGATTTAAGAAAAAGTTTGATACTTTCTGTGACTCAAGCTGCGGTTCAGTGCACCCAGTATACAGCAGTAAACTGGGAAGTACTGGAAGTCTTTCACTGTTGGGGTAATTACTTTTAAATAGAGGAGGGAGAGCACACCTCTTTTTTTGCCTACCTTTCTTCCAGTCGGAGCATGAAATGGTGCAGGACCCAGGGACGTCTTTACAGCTGCCTCCGTACACACGGAGTCTGACTTTATTTCAACAGGCTGGCACAGAGCCATGCCTGGCACTCCTGGTCCAAGCTGCCACTGGAACATCAACCTGAGCCGTGTATGCCTGCTAGAGGAGAGGATGTGAACCAGCATTCCAGCTGGAGAGCAGCTGGAATGACAACTGTAGCAAAACGGGGTTTTACCTATTCTTATCAGCTTTGCACGTCACACACTCTGATAAGCACGCTGCTGTGTGCTTCTTGGGGCCACTTTGGTAAATTGCGTGGCTGTGTGATGGCGAAAGCTGACTCTTAATCTGGTATGTCCAAACAGAAATCAGTACCTGAGCAATACCGACCTGACCTCCTTGTAAAGCCTTTGATAGAGCTGCTGAAGAGACCATCTTTCTCCCAAAGCCGTTTAACTGTAGATTTGAAGAACAACTTGTTAAATCATAAGATTAGAAGCTAAGAATTAAATAAACTGTGTATTTAGCTGCAGTACTTCCTTGTTTGACAAGTATTTTTACATAAAAACATTATTTTTACATTTTCAACAACTGCTTGTTCAGAAACTCTCCTTTTTCAGAATGGGAGCAAAACTTAATTCTGACCATGTTTTTAATATTCCTTTATTATTACAGAAAGAGCTCTCAAATTCCGATTTTACCAGTCCTCTGAAGAAAAAGCAGAGGATATCTCACCTGGCCAGTCGAGTCCAACTATCATGCAGTGGCCCCTTGCCTACCTCCAACGAGAAGGCCGTCGCTGCCGCCCCTCCGCTGCCTCCCAGCGCTGTAACCACCACTACTCCCGCTCAGCTGCCGCTGCCTCCCACATTCCTTCCCACTTCCAACACTCCTCAAACTGCCATCTCCTATTCCCTCAGCACCCCTGACAGGCAAGGGGCACAAACTCTGCCAGTGGACAGGTTCAGTCAAAATAGCAGTAGCTTCTATGAGGACCAGCAACAAAAATATACCTCTCAGGCTTCTTTGAGAGTCTTGATGCCTGCTGGGGTGCAGGTGGAACCTCCCAAGTCCGCAGATGAGAATTGTGTGGTATTGCACCAAAACCCCGAGACGGTAGAAGAGCATAATGAGAAGGACAAAAGCAAAATGGAAGACGCTATGAGTGTGAGTGAGAAGGAGAAAGACCTTAAAGAAGAAACTGCTGAGCTGAAAAAATCCTTCCATTTGGATTCAGGTGAAGGTATAATACACTGCTTTTCCTAACTACTATATTGGTAACCCTGATGAAAAGGGAGCAGTAAAACCAGGGACTAGAAATGCTAATGGTCTATTTTTTCGCTTGCTATATATTAAGTTCTTTGCCATTATCCTTGCTTTATGGTCATGAAGCATCAATATATTTTTTTCTACCATTGCATTACATTGTAACAGTTTAAAAAACAAACAAACAAAAACCATAAGCTGTTCTGCTGGAACCTTATCTAAAATTAAGTTCGTTTTTAAGAGTTCTCACTCTGTAGTACAAAAATCATTAGAACAAAGAAATCTTAAATGTATTTATGTTCAGCAGAAACTGGTTAAAAGGAAGAGCTAGGTACTAGAAAGACGCAAGGAATGGATTATTTTTTTTTTCCACTTGATTTCCAGTAAACTGACAGTTCACTGAAACTTACTCCCCTTTTTCCATCTGACTTTTACAGTCTGCACACTGAAGATAAAAACTTGTCAAGCATATTTATTGCATACTACTTTATTGAAACACATAGATGAAACATGAATGTATTTCATTGTGTATCACAATGCAAGGTTCTTTGAACTCAGCCTTTCCATGGAAAGTCTAAAACCTACATAAACTGGCATGTGGTTTACTAGAGTTTTGGTTTGAACTGTGCTATGAGCTCCTCTCCATCTTAGCTGCAGAATTTGTTACTTCAAAAAGATGTAGAAATGGTGCAAACTTAAAATGACATTGGAGAGCTAATCAGAAACACACAAAGAATACTTGATTTCTTAATGCACAGAGACACATAGGGCAGAGTTCAGTTCCTTTGTTAAATCTGTGTGTTGTCTAATTTCAGAGGTTTGACTCACACAGTAGAAGTCAGGTTTAACCCTTTCCTATCTCATCCTGGAGGCATCTTTAGAGTATGCAGGGTGCCTCTTTGAAGTGGTGTTGTGCTTGTAAATAAGGGTGCTTTGAGATGGTCTTTTCACCTTTACACTGGATATACTACACCATACCCACGTGGTTTGTGATTGCTTTGAAAATACTCATGTTTGAAACATGTGAACATCTTTCACCAGAAACCAGTAACACAGTTCTGAACATCTTGGGAAGGAAAAGTCTGTACTAAGTTTCAAGTTGGTGCTTACACCGATGCTTTCAAATGGACTGAGCCAGGTCAACAAATGCAGTTGTATTTTTGGAAATTAAATCCTCGTAGCAAAACTGTTCACATAAGTTCTATTGTACATACTATGACTATTAATATTACTGTTTGCATTTCTCTCAAATTTTGTTCCTACTTTTACACTTCTTTTTATAGGCCTACTGTACCATGTTTTATGTTTTAAGAATATAATAATTCTAATATTCAAAGCAAAAGAATGGAATAGAACATCACATCATAGCTCTTTTCTCTCCTTATGACTTAAAGCTCAACTTAGAGATTGACAAGAATGGTTGAGATTTAGCAGAAATACTGTGTTTACACAGTGGCAGTGTAAGATAATAATGAATGTAAGGGATTTTGTGTGTTTTAAGCTTACCACAAAACCCCAAATGAAAAGCAGAGAGAGATTACCAAGATACTGAGTGTTCCTTCCTGTTCCAGCTATTTTTCTCACTTATCAAAAAGATAGGGGGCTCCTGAAATACTCCTTTAAAAAGAGGAATTGGACGTTAAGTATACTGTGCTTTCATAATACCATTTAAAAGAGCAATTCACAAGTGCAAATAACTTTCAAACTCAGTATTGCCACATTAATGAGGAGCAAGTCTTTGTTGCAGGTTATTGAATGAAGCCTGAATGCCAGTAACCCATATGCAATGCTTTTGGCTTTCCTGCTTAGAAGAGTGCTGAAATTAAATCTGACTTTGGATGTCCATAATTGGCAGGGAAGGAGGGATAAAAGCATGGCATGAAAAGAATTTCGGTTTTCTACTCAATTTCTGGAACCTGGATGTTGATATATATATGTATGTGTGTATATATATATCTCTCTCTATCTCATCTTTTGTGCAGCTACATCTGTTGCTGCACAACTCGAATTGCTGTGCAGATGCCACGTCGTATCTTCAAATAAGAGAAGCTGACCTCAGGTTAATACTGTGGTAGCATGCAGAACCTGTAGAATAAAGTAGATGTGCCCTCTTTCTAAACCCTGGTACTGCCTACTGTGGAGAAGGTCGTGTGACCCCTATTATTAACTTATAGAGCTTATTCCAAGTAATTTACTATGGGAATAAAACTGTAAAGGATTTTTTGAAGCTCATCACATTGGTGTTGTTTGGCTGTATTAAAAATCTGTTTATTGCAAGTGTCAAATTTCTGCTTTTCTGTACGAATAGAAGAAACTTGCGCTGCCTCCAGAGATACTCCTTCATCAACAAGTGAACCACCAGACTACTTCGTGTGAGTAAAATAATGATTAACTCTTCTGCCACTCATTGAAGCAGTTGAAATATCACCTATAAAAACTCTCATTTAGCTACAAAATTAAAAATTTACTGATACGAGATTTTAGAATAATGACAAGTTCCTTTAAGTCACCCAGCTGCCTTGTATGAGTACCTGCAAGTTTTAAACTCTGAGGTTGTCCCTTTATTATTGCGGGGGGAAAGAAGTGTTAAAAAGAATTTTTAATATACTTTAGAAGAAAACTTAAAACATTCAGTTTCATTCCTCTTCAAGAACACAGTAAAACAGGAATATGAACCTGTGCTGATATCTCTTCAGAGCTGAGGCAATACAGGAGGAAAGCTGAATGCTAAAATACTGAATAAGTACATTTGAACATCTTTCCTATGTTTTCACTGCTTTGTGCATCTAAGCTGGAAAGGTGGGGAGGGAAGATAGCAGACTTTATAGGCTTTGTAATGCTGGACTTTATATGAGCTAACAGGAGTTAACCATCGAAGTTATTTCTAAAGCTTTGAGGTAAATTGGCGACTGACTAACTTGAAGCTACAGCAATATATCCAATTTTACCATAGAACTGCAGACCGAAGAGCTAAAGAAAATAGAAGAACCTCAATTGAGATTTAAACTTTTAGCTGCTTAATTTGACTACAAAGCAAGATAAAAATGCATTAAACTTGCATGTGAAATGTTACATACCTATGATGACTGGCATTTGCAGTCTGTAAAAAATGATAGAAGGACTTCCCAGTAAGTTTAATTTTATCTCCTTAATAAGTTGTCACACATCAGATTAACATTCCCAAAAGTTAAAATTTAGCTGCTATATATAAAAGCTTTGCATCCTTGACAAGTATTAAAGAACTTCCTTTAAAATGAAATGCTCTAATAGCAGCATCATTTGATTGCCTAAATACTTTTTTAGAATATTAAAACTTTTCTGTTAGGAGGGTTTTTCTTTACAGTTGTAAAATGGAGAAATAGGTTCTTCAAATGCCTGGTGTCTGGGCTTTTTCCCCCACGGTTTTATTGACAGCCTTTTTTTTTAAAACTATGAAAGTTGAAGGAGGCTGCAGTGGAATAACTGGAATAACTTGGTCAGTGCAACCTGAATTTCTTATAAAATGCTTGGGGCGGGGAGGGAATGGGCACAGTGGGGAGCAATCTAAAGCTCTTTTCTCCATTGGAAAGATGAGTTTGAGAAGGTTTTGATGGGCGTTCAGCACTCAGGGCTGAAGTGAGCACCATGATAGCTGAAGCCAGGATGAGCCTGGCATTGCCTCGCAATGCAGTTGCGCAGCATCGGCCGCAGCAGTGACACTGAACCCCCTTGTCATATTTGCAGTGCAGGAGGGGAAGGAGAAGTGTGTCTGTCTGTTAAAATGCTGAGAATTGCCAGGTTCACCAGCTTCTGTCAGAGGAATAACGTCAGCAAGGGAGGTCAGGCTTCCCCGTGGCACCTGAACTTTGGTGCATCTTCCATCTGCATTAAAGCAGGTGGCATGGTAGCACCCTGTGTCATATTTAATCTAGTAAGCGATGCTCCGTGGAAAGACTGAAAGTAAGTCTGGCCCTGCAGGGAAGTAGCTTAGTACTTAATGTGTTAGGCTGAGAACTCAAACCTACATTTAATTCCCAGCCTCTGCTGGGTGAAAGTGAACGGATTCAGCTCTTCGCTGTCTGCTTCCCCATCAACTGAGGGCAGTGATACTAAGGAATAAGGCATACGGTTATTTGATGTAATCTAATATTAAAGTTGGATGACAGTAGCCATTGCTAAGAGGTAAAAAAAACAAAACCAAAAGAAAAAAGCCCTCATGCAAGATCTCATGAAGTTGGTTTGGTTCTGATTGGGATTGAAAAATTTAATGAAGAATGACCTGTGAAAGGAGCAACGTCTGGAACAATCTCACAGATCATCTACTGACCACAATGTCCTGGAAAAAAAATTAGTTCACGCTGTTTCAGACATCTGCCTGATCATTACAGAAAGATTGAAACCTGGGAGCATCTGCAATTTGATTCCAGTTTAAGGGACTTTGGTAGTTTTTCCAGCTTCTCTTCCTGTCTCGAAGTGCTAGGTAATTAATGAGTATAATCACAGCCTTAGCATAAAGATCCTTTCCATCTTAATATAAAGATTATGAGAGTAAAGGAATTCAAGGTTTTTAAGCAAAGCTTAAGCAAAATCTAGAAAACCAAAGCAGATTCACGTTTCTCCCCACCTCTGCTCTCATTTCTTCTTTCTCCACACACTTGCATTGCCAGGTGCTTTGCTGGGCCCTTGTCCTGTGCTAGGACTCTTGCTGTGGGCTGTAACTGTGCACAAGCCAGCCTTCCACACTATTACTTCACGTGTACCTCCCAAAGTGTTGAAGAGCATCTGTAGTTTTCTTTTAAAACCACCTAGCACTCTAATCAGGTGCATCTGGCCTGGGATATGTCAGTGACAAAAGTTGTTGTCTGTGTTGGTACAGAGTTTCAACTTGTTAAATTTTTATTGCTCATTGAAATTAATCTAAGGGTGGTTTGAAGGATTTGTCCCCATGTGGAGGTGCTTCTGTCATTGAAAGAGAACCAGGTCTTCAGGCCAGGAGGACCAGAAGTATTGGTGTGTGGGCAGTGGGAAATGGAATCTATTACTCGCATTGCTGCTTCATCTTGGATTTGTATAATAAGCTTGTTAAACCTGCTCACGTAGGTTTGAGGGAGAGGGGAATGAAGAAAGGTTCAATCAGGGTTTTACCCTCCTTGGAGGTGATGTGATGGTTTGGTTTGGTTGTTTGTTTCAGAATTCTCTGCAGTTTGTTTTTGTTCCTGTATTGCAAGTGCCTTAGTTGAATGGACAGCAATAGAACTGGTGTTCAGTAAAATAACCGAATTTTATCATTAACTGTGCTTTGCTGTTAGATAGGCACAAGTGTAGCCGAAAACCTAACTGTATCCAACTCCATAAGTGCAGTCCCTTCAAGAAATGTAATGAAAATGAATTTTCAAAAGTAAATATAACTTAATTAACCTGTCCCTTCATAGAAAGAGGTTATAACCTAGCAGTTTCTCTTCTCTCACTGAAGCTGATGCGTTTATTGGCCCTTCTATATTTAAATGATTGCTAATGTTTTCTATGTATGCTACACTTCTTTTTTTGCACAGCTTCTGAATAAAACCTCTAAAAAGTAAAATATTAGCAAATAACTCACAAAAATATGGTAGATTTCTATAATTACCTAAATACAGTCCCTTGGAGCATGTGTGCTCACGTGTAGAAGCAGTCAGTCACAGTTAACTGACTTAAAGCTTGGGTGTCTTTTGCTTGATATTCACGATGTCCTTGGTGTAAAATTGTATGTGTGCTTATTTTTCCATTAGAAAATACACAGCTATAGTCTCATACGAGCAACGCCAGAGTTACAAGGATGACTTCAATGCAGAATATGACGAATACAGAAATTTGCATGCTCGGATAGAGAGTGTCACCAGGAGATTCATGAAGTTTGATGCACAATGGAAACTGCTTTCTCCAGGGTCCAAAGAACATCAGGTAAAGAAGGGTAAAACTGTGAAGGTTGTGTTTCATCTCCCTCTTATCCCTTCCAAAAGTCCACATGTTCAGCACAAGCAGACTCTTCAGTACATTTATGTGTTAAATTATATTGTCATGGTTTTGAAAGAGTTGCCAGGTTCAGTGTCTGAGACTGAGTAACCAGTCGCATAGCTGGAATTACCGGTCTGGCTCAGGCTTTGCTGACTGCCTCAGCATCCTGGCCCGGTGAGGGGGTGCTGTTACGCAGATGGGGAACAAGATGGGAACTGCCTGGAAACCAGCGGCCGTAATCCCAAAGCTTTACTGACCCTCTGTGCCCCATGATTTTATACACTTAAGTAAACCTGCAGCTGCACCTTCCAGGTGGCAGATCCTAGCTACAATTTTAGCAAAGAAGGTTGTTAAAAACCTGATATTCTGGCTTTCCAGCCTGGACTTCTCTGATTTGGACATACAAATTCCACATGTTCAATATCAGAATTTTTTAATTCTGTGTGCACGCTGAGGATTTTTGGTTGGCTTTTATTTAGTTTTTTGGGCAGATTGGAAATGTATTTGTGAGCAGAAGGAGTATTTTAAAATCCCTAGTACTGCTCAGTCAAAGAAAGGGAAACCTTGCAGAATTTGTACACGTGCTCAGACCCTGTGTGGGCTAGCTCTGGTTTTTGAAGCTTGACAAAACCTTGCAAAAAGCTCTTCAGCCCTCAAACTCCACCTGCTTGAGCTGTCTGTGAACTCACAGCAGTGTTAGCAGCTTCTCAAAGGGCATCTTCAGGCACGTGCTCCTTTTGTTGCCTGTTTATAGGTATAATTGCAGATCTTGGGCAATATGGGGGGTTGGGGGGTTATTTTTGCAAAGCAGGAGAGTGGTGGCTCATGGATAAGAAAATATCTTGAGTAAAACAATGTATTTTTAGTGCTTTACATAAATTTGCATTTTCTGGTAGTAGTGAAATGTTCTTCATATTGTTTTTTTTTCTTGAAGGTCCTTCGTGAAGAAGTCTTAGAAGAGTATCAAAAGATAAAACAGGTATGAGTAACACCAGATTTGTGGTGTGAGACTGGCTCAAGGCTATTTTTAAGCAAATGACGTGAAATACTAAACTCTGCAGAAATGTTTTCACGCCCTAATTTTCTGTTTATCTTATCTTTACAGTTGAGACCCAGCTACTATGAAGAGAAGTGTAGATGCGAGTATCTCCACAACAAGCTGTCTCACATTAAGAGACTAATAGGGGAATTTGACCAACGGCAAGCAGAGTTGTACTAGTCTTCTGCTTCGACCAGGGCATGTGAATGAACTGAAGTTTATTTATTTAAAACTTAAGATTAGTTGCTCTAAGATTAGAAAAATTAGTATCGAACTTTTGCATTACAGGAGTTTCAGTATTAGCAGAATTAGCTACTTTTGTTGTTGATGATGTTACTTATATGGATATTTGAAGCTGCTTTTTCTGGTCCCTTCTTTTCTTCCAGACTTATGTTTGTCCATTGAAATAATTTTATCGGTAGATACTGGGGACCCAGTGCCTCTACTATGAAGTTGTGCACATTTTAAGAAAATATTGTAGCAAATTGAAATACTTTTGGATAAGTATAAGGCTGTTTTCTGACCTTTCTTGTTAATGCAAACTCTTTGCCTTAAATGGTAGAAAGTTTAGAAATTTGCACAAAAAAAAAAAATAATCCCATTGTTTTGGAGGGTTAAAGAGGCATGTGTATGTGCTGTATACAGCCCATCTTGTTACAGCAGAAACTCACCCCTGCAACTTAAACCCCCCATTGCAGTGGTTGCCTTAAGGTGTTTGCTTGTGTATATTTGGTGTAGTTAAATTATTAGCTACACTACTTCCCACTTTGCCGAAGCACCTGGGAAGCACTACGTGGCCTACCAATGTCCGAAAGTGTGTGCTTGTACTGTGTGTGTGCAACACTGTGTGGGTGTAAGCATGTGTGATGGGGAAAAAAAAAGTAAAAAAAAAAAAAAAAAAAAAAAAGCTGCTACTTTTAAGTAGGCCAAACGCTCAGGTTAAAACAACTGACGAGTGTTGCTGTAGGTTTTTCCTACAAAATTGCTACTTCTATTGTGGAAGATGAGAACATTTCCATTTCAATAGTTTGTCAGCTTTAATAATATTGGGGAAATTGATACTTTACAGAAATGAAACAGATATATATATAGTTTTGGGGCAAGATTATAAAATTAAACATGTAGGTTACCTATTTATATACTACTATAAAATATTTTTTGAAGAGAGATGTGCAAAGAAGCTATTGCCTACATGAAATATATATTTAAAGATTTTTTTTGTCCTGGATGCCAGGAATGTAACAAAGAATAGGTATATTTAACTATAAAATACTGTGATCACCAAACAGCACAAACATTCATTTCATGCAGTTTTTTGGTTTATTTTGACGTAAACCATTGCTTGCTTTATCGTGTGAAAGCACAGGCTATTTGGTCAAGATTGAGCAAAATCTTTGTGTGTCTTACTGTGTTTGTCTTTTAAAATGCTGCCAATTGAAAAGGGAAGCAATATGTTTACAAATCTGATTTTTGGAATTTTTGCCAAAATTTTGGTAGTAGACTTTATCTCCAGCATCGAAAAGAAAAAAAAACCAAACTGTTGTAGTATATCACTGTAAACCAGAAAACGTTTGATTGTCAGAAAACATGCATTCAGGTAAATGGGAGCAATTGAAGTTTTGCCTTAAATTTGTGTGTTTAAAGATGTTACATTCATGAAGATGGAATCGCAGCCAAGGTGCATCCCTTTCTGTTGCATGCCAGCAATATTTGTGTTACCTACTTGAGACCAGGTTGACTTTGTGTCCCTTGGATTAGCACAGTTGTTTTCACCTCTGCATTTCAAATGGCAAAATGAAGAAAAAGACTGCTTGCTTCCCATTAAGAGCTGCGTTCATCTGCGTTTAACGACTGAATTCAGTCTTGAGCGTACATGCGCAGTGATGCCCAGGTACAAATGCAGGGGCTGGTAAATTCACTGCAGTCCTGCCGCAGCTGCACTGGGTGGTTAGCTTTCAACCTGGAAACAAAGCAGCTGTTCCCACTAAAATGATGTGAAGTTCCTGATACCAGGACTCATTTCGGCAGCTCTGTGCTCTTTAAATAAACCGTGTGCCTGGATCTGACATTAACTGCCATTGTGAGGAACACAGTGCTGCTGCTACTGTCTCGCTGTGTTGCAGTCATTCGTAGTGCTGTCACTCTATAGCTGAGACCCAGTGCAGTTAGGTTTACCCCCACCGTGTTTGACCATTGACCTGTGTTCACACACATCTTCTGGGTTACAGTCTTGCAGCTGGAGTTTAGTGCTACTTCAGAGGTCCAGCACGACATATCATCGTCAGACCTGACAAGCTACTGTAAAGGCCGTAATTGAAGGTTTAGCCTATTTGCACTGAGCATTTCTGAAGCCGTGCAAACATACCTGACAGCCTATGTGTTGCAAAGTAATGCTGTAAATTGACATATCCCATGTTTCCCTGGAGCTGACATTCCTGTTTGGCAAATGTTGAGAGCCCGTGGCAGCAGGGCCTCTGACTGTATCGTATCGTTGCCTTTCCTGTACAACTGGCCTCTTCCTCGGAGGAACAAATGCTGCCCGTGGTGGCACCTTGGCTGGGGTTACACTACTACAAACCTGAACAGGCGATTGATGTAGAGAAGGGGCAAGGGTGCACGTCTCCTTCCTGGAAACTGTGAATCTCACTACAGTTTATAAAAAAAAAAAAAAAATACGTGGTCGAAAGGAAGGCGGTAGCCCTTTCCATTTGGCTGGAAAAAAACATAGGTTAGGAGGATTGGTTTCCCATCTTGCTGGAGTTTGAGGGAGAAAAACTGTGCCCAAAGTGTTTTTTATTTGAAATTGTACGTATGCTCTAAACTGTCGCTTGAAGCGGCTCACTTGACTGCTTTTAGGTCTTCAGTTCACCTTGTCAGTTATCAAAAAAAAAAAGTAATATTCACATCTTTTGGAAGCATTTTGTAAAACATGTATACGGCTGTTGGAGGCAATTTACTTCAACAGGTTTTAAACAGAAATTGAGTTAAAGTGTTGATATTGTAACTTTGCTCATTTGCTAGCTTTTTTTAAAATCACAATGTTACAACCAGTCTTTCTACATACGTCAATTCGTGCAAAGACCTATGGCTACTTTGAAGTATAGTTCTTTTCATAAGTTTACCATCATTTGTTTCTGTACCTGACGGGAACGGATGTGGCCAGCAATTCCATAACCTTCTTTTGGGGAAGTGTATGAAATTGATCCAAGGGAGGACAATATTTGGGAACATGAAGGCTTAAAGCAGGGCTGTGAATCCCCTTTTCTGACTTTTGAGAGTATTTTATGACTTCCTCAATTGTTTCCATACAAACTGTATTAAGACTCTATATGTGAAACATCCTGGGGCGTTTTGTTAATGAACATTTGAGCCGTTGTTGCCCCTCTGTTCTGCATCAATTTATGTTCAATAAAATGTTAACTTTGCAATCCTGAGGCTTTGGTCTTTCCTTGTCTGGGGTCAAGGGCATCCTCCTGCATCTCTGCAATGAAGCGGCACGACAAACACTGCCGTGGGAGAGCAGGGTAAATTCTGCTGATGTGCAGGGGGCACATCGGTGGTACCTCGCCTCACCGTGACATCCTGCTGCTAATTTACGAACCGTGCAAGAGTGCTGCTGTCAAGTGTTTCTAACTACTCTCCCTCTTTTTGCCTTGAGTTTAATATCCTGCCTCTTTCACTTCCCATCCCTGTGCTGGCAGGTGACCCGTGTTCCTTGTCGTCTGCTGGGACTGGTTTCTAACCTAAAAGAGCACAATGTTCACATGCTAAATTGCATTTCTTGTTTTTTCTCACTCTTCCAAGTTTTGGACTCCTGTCCGTGCTTCTCTATGACAAAGCAGAGGGCAGAGTCCTGGCAAAACACTCCTATATCCAGCAAATTTAGGGGACTGGGAAACTGTCACAGGCCACAGGGTTTTTCCCTGCTGCTAACACACGTCACCACGCCGGGAAGGAGGCAAGCGTTGGATCTGGATGTTGGATGAGTCGCCAGGGCTTTCACCTCGACAGAAATTGCTCATCTGTTGCTCACTACCTGTTGGTACAAGATGGTTGCATCACAGTTAATAATTGTTCATTATAAATGTGAAACTGATGGATGGATAAATGTTTTACAAGCAGATATCCTTATTCTGGTTCGTATTTCACTGTGCCCGTAAACTGCCTTTAGGATGTGTGATTTTCTACATCCTTAATAGGCCCGTGCGTTTCTGGCTGTCATTTTGATCCATATCCCTAAAAAACAAACCAGAAACAAAACAACGCCCCCTCAAACGGGGTGGGGGGGAAATCGGCACTCTTTAAAACCCTAAACTAGAAAACACTTCTAAAGTTTTCAGTGAAAAAGTCACCAATCCAGCAAGTTATAGTTACCTGGAAGGTGGAAAGCTGCTGTACATCCCTGATAAAAATAATTTCACAGGGTGAGTAGGCTCTGCATTGCTTGGATCTAACTCTTCCACCTCCTGAATGCCAAGTGCTCTTCTAGCATGGGAATGTCTGTACAGTTTTCTATTTCAGCCCTAGTCTTGGAGCAAGTTTACATTTTCATGAAAGCTACATGCGAAAGTTTGATGTTGAACAGGTATTGAAATATTCATATTCTCATTTAACAAAGCCTTGTGCAAACAGGTTAGCAGTGCAGCAGAAAGCAGAGGGCTGGGAGCAGTACGAGGGTTGTAACTTGGCCGTGCCCGGCTGCCCATCTCCAAGCTGGTCACACATCCTGGAGCAGAGGTCCCTGCTCCTGCTTCTTCACTGACTTGATGGCCAACTGGGCATTTCCACTGAGATCTTCGAGTGGGCTTGCATCATCTCCTAAGGTGCCAAAGGCACACCTGTGAGTACTTCCTCTAAAGCCTGGTTGAAAATGCAACATTGAGAAAATGTGAAGTTACTCTCTGGGAATCACACTGCAAGATACAACTGTGATCAAGAGCTCAGTGGTTTTTTTAATAATTAAACTTTTCAAACTTTCAAACTCTGCTGATGCATGGTAGTGGCTGGAACATCCCTGGAGGCCAGGAGCCTGCTCGACATCCTTGGGACCGGGGCAGGACACAGTGTCCCTGCGAGGAAACAGGTGATGGGGCTTTGACTTGTCCAGCTATTTTTCATGTTAACAGAGCATGACTGGACCTTTAAAAGAATATATATAGTTGTTGATTGTGCACTTAGTG